TACAATTGATTTTTCAATCGATTTAATTATGAATGTCATTTGGTACATTAATGATCTAATGCTTTCAGACAGAATGGTACAAATCAAAAGTTATTCGAATTTTTTTGGTACTTTTGATTCAACATCCAATTCATTTCATTATGAACCACATATTATATATCACATACTGTGACACAATTAAGAAAAAAATTAGTTTAAAGTTGTTTTTGTGATTAAATTGAATAGTAAATGATAAAAAATGAATGTGTTTTTTTTCTAGTTTTTAATATAGACGCAAAGAAAGGAAAAGCAGAACGACTTTACATAACACCACCATAAGCGATTTTCATAATCGATTAAAATATATATATAGATATATCTTAATTTCTAATTAAATATATCCATCTTATTTTAAAGAAAAGAATATATAAATGAGTTCATCTCAGAAAAAAAAAATAAGAATCTATTTTTCTAAATGTATTTATGCAACACTTGTTATAGGAGATGGTAATTGTTGTTCTAATGCAAACTTTTTAATCATTGATGAATAATCTTTTGTTGATATTCGATTTGTAGCCAAATATGTATCAAGTAAACGTGAAAAATTGTATACTTCTCGAAAACTAACATCATTGTACAATCGATAATATCGTGGAATATCACATTCTTTAAGATCATTACTTTTACTTTTCCAAATATGTGATGATTCAATTAATTTAGTCGATCGAGACATATCTGGTACACTACTATGACGTAATATTGATACAAGTGGTTGAGAAACAGATCTTGATTGATGTGGTGGAACGGGTTGAGTAGATATTCGAACCGTTTTTGATAGTGGTGTTGTTGAACGTTTAGTACATCGATTTAACGGATGAGATGTATTTGGTAATGATTGATTCAATCGATGAGGTAAATAATATTGATATCGATGAGGTGATACTAAAAAGAAGAAAAAACAAAAAAAAAAAGATCACAATTCATATTTACAGTCATTCTTTTGATTTTATAAACACTCATACTATAAAATTACAAAAGATAACAAAGCAATAAGTGTTTGTCTTGTTATAGAGAAATACATATTATCTTTCAAAATAAACTAAATTTTTATTTTTAGGAAATAAACCTTGATTTTTTTTTTTTTTTTTTTTTTTTTTGCTAAGATCAATAAATGTTTCTCATCTATTATTACAATCCAGTTATAGAAAAATGACATTAGAAACTTACAAAAACGATGGTAATCATAGAGAGGTAGACTACGATATTTTGATCTTCTTAAAAGAATATCATCAATACGTTGTGTAACCGTAGCAGTTGTTGGAATAATTGGTGTTGATGATAATAATAATTGAGCTTCTTCAATATCATCAATTTGTAACATTAAATCAATTCGTTTTTGTAATTCTTCAATTTTTTGTTCATTATATCTAATCCATGATGAATTTTTTCTATGACCAGTTAAATATAAATCACAATAATCAGGTCGTGTTAATATTGTTGATGGAGTTAGAAAACGAGGTTGTCGTTGTTTTGATAAATCTAATAAACATTTATTAATATGAACTTTAGGTGATGGCATATATCCTTTAATCATTTCTTCACTTGTTAATCCAGGCATTGATCGATATTTATCCTTTATTATATTAATAATTGCTGATGATGATCGATCTTCTTTTGGTAATAATGAAATATCTCGACAAAGTTCCATATCCTGATTAAATATATTTCAAAAAAAAAAAATTCAAAGACACAGACACTCTAGTCTGACACTGCAAGAAGAAGAAATTGATTCTCATATAAAAAAAAGAATGAATTGAAATGTAAAGCTCAGACAAGGTCGAGAAAGTGAAGTGCTTCTTTCTTTTTTTTTTCTCTCTTTTTATTCTTCATCTTTTTTTTTTTCAATCCATAATATATAATAAAAAATTGAGAAAATCGACATACCCTATTTGATTGTTTCAATGATGTATTGTAGATTTTTTCTCTATAATATTTTAATACATCATCGATATCTAATAATTCATCATTAATAATAGCAATAGCTCTTTGTCGTTCACGTAATGTTCTTTCATAACGTTCAAGTAAACTTGCTAATAATGTTGTTGATGTACTTTCAGAACTATTTGTTCGTGTTCGTGTTGTATCATTTGAAAAACAATGACATGTTACTCGATTATTCTGATGATGATCAGGTATTGAATATGATTGTTTTTGATGATCATAATTTAGTGATGAAACAAATATATTATTATCATTTTCAGATTGTTTATTAATATTTGCGTAGTCATGAATAGATGAATTTTTAATTTGATAATTACATAAACGACAATTTATATTATGATGAGAATCAATCTATAGAAGAAACCATATTAGAAACAAAAAAAAAAAAGAAGAAATAATTATATTATCATACTCTTTGACTAATATCAGAAAATGGTAAATATTGTTTCGCACAATTTTTAGCATTAATTTCATCAATTAATTCATAATGATTAGTTGTTGTTGTTGTTGCTGCTGAAGATGAAGATTTTTGTATACATTGTGATCTCGATGATGATGATGATGTTCTTGATTCATCAATATCTGTTTGTACACTTTGATTATATCGAGGAGAAGGAGGAAGTAAAGGTTTGTTCTCCTTCTCCTCATTTTGAATTTTAATAAAATCTGATAAAATAAAATCTGTAGTAAGTCGAAGCCACCAATGTGGATAATCATCACCAGTTGATACTGATCGATGTTTATATTCAATACCATTCCGATAGATTGATATTATTTCTGAAGAATAATTTGATGATATAGCACGACGATATGGATTAGCAATTGATGATAAAAGTAATTGATTTGTTTCTAAATTAAGATTAAACATATGAATAAATTGAGAATCAATTGATGTTGATCGATTAATAAATTGAGATCTAAGAAAAAATAAAAATTGTTTTTTAATTAATCTTTAAAAAAACCAAATAGATATGTTTCTTACTCTGTTTGCGTTGTAATAGATATATGAATATGATTTTGTGGTATTGATGGATGATGTATCTTTTCTTGAACAATTTCCTTTTTAAAATCTTTTATTAAATTTTCGTCAACTGTTTCTTCAACTTCGGAAAGAATTTCTTGTTTACTTATTAATTGTTCATTATCAATATCACATTGAATACCTCTTTGATATCCTATTCGAATAGCACGAGTATATTGATAATAAGGTACACTATGATATTCATTAACATCATGCCACGAATGACGACGACGTCGATCAAGTGTTGTTGTTGTTTGATTATAACGTCGTTGTGTTGATATTATTGCATGAAGATTACGACCTGATGTAGATACTTGTACAGCTGCATCTTGAACTAAATGTGGTTTTCCTCTTTCAACAACAGCTCCATCAACTATAGAGAATGTATTATCTATATTTCTTTCTTAATAAATAAAATTTTCATATTTACCAATCATCCATAATTTACACACCATTGGTAAACGTGTTGATTCTCCTTCGATATCCCATCGTATAACATCTGATACATCACAATCTTCAATTAATGAACCAATACATCTTGCATTTGGTTGTGTAAAAAAAATTTCATTTCTACCCATAACCATCCATCTATCATAACCATTTGCAAATGAATATGGTTGTCTTACACTTTGTAAACATTTAACATATGGACGAAATGGTACTAATGAAACACCACTTTGACGTCGACGTGGTGGTCGTGGACGTGTTATTATATTTAAATTATCATAATCAAGTGGTTCTTGTGTGTCGAGCGTATTCAATGGTGTTTGCATTTTAAGTTAATTAATGTGAGAATTGTCTTCCCACTTGAATAAATACCTATGACAACATCTGAAAGTATATTGAAAAAATTGAGAAATAAAATAAGAAAAAGGAATGAATGATTATTATATAAAAGATTATTTTCTCTTTTTATTTTTTTTTTTCTTTTATTCTATGAATAAGACTTCAAGGAATTTGTCCGATCCTCACTCATACTTTTATTTTAAATGCAAAAGAAAAATAACCGAAATAACTGACTTGAAGCACAAATACGAATTGCTATTTGAATAACATCAATACTGAAATTCTCTTATTGCAATCTGTCTATCGTTCGTAATCGTTTGTATAGGAAAGCGAAATTTAATACATTTAAAGAAAGAAACAAAGATTAAATGAAGAATAAGAGAATGTTGCCTTTTTGATGTTAACCGCAAAAACGATTTAATACTGGTATATCGTTTATAGTTAATGGAAATAAATAAATAGACTTCATAACAAATAAAATCATTTTTACCTTCAAAATTCCATTAAGAAAAAGAAACGAAATACACTTGAATAATAGTTTGAAAGGATAATCTATTGATTAAATCGATTAAAAAAACTTAAACCAGTCTATTTAACTTACCATTTATTCTCCAAAAAAAAGTAAGTATATAGAAAGCACTCTATTTCTTATAAAAGAATAATGTTTTTAATATAAATAATGACGTTTCTAATATAAAAACAGTTATAGATTGAACTACGCAATTTTTATTTTTGTTATATTATACTACAATCGATAAGATCTTTTTTCTTTTGTTCTTTACTAATAACCGCATCATATTTACTTATGAACGAGAGTTTCTTCTTTCTACTTTTATATTTTTTTTTATCTTACCACGTAAACGTCAGACGACGCTGTTATTATTGTTATGGTGTTTTCAACTTTTTCTCTATCTTTTTTTATGGCCCGGCTCGTTCCATCCGACTGTTTTTTCTTTCTCTCCTTTCTTTAAAACTGTAACAACACCCATACACAGACTATTTCTCTTCTCTTCATTCTTTTTTTCTTTTATAGAACAACATAGAAGAGTTAATGATAATGTTGTCGACATTTGAAAAAGCAGAAAGTAGAGTCTAAAAAAAAAACATAAACGAAAAAAAAAAAGCATTTTAATTGCTTCTCAACTATACAATGTATTTATGTTCGAAATTGAAATCGAACCTGATGAATAGCAGTAACATTTGAAATATTGGAATAGACTTTAAAAGCAAAAAAAGCAGAATATAAAAGTAAATTATTAGATAGCGTGTACTTTAACAATATGTTAATCTGTGTCAAATATTCGATAGAGAAAAAAAAAAAAAAGATTTAATTTATAATGCACTTTCTTCATTGACTGTATAGAGGACAAGAAAAAAACGATTTTGAGACTGAAGACTTTTCAATGATTGTTATGATCAATATTTAACTATTATTACAAAAACTCAATTTAGTTTGACCTTGTCTATGTATAATTACGTTTTTTTCTTTCTTGTTTGAAATAAAATTTCCTAATCCATATAAAAAAAAAATGATTTATAAGACTGATAGTTCTTTGAAAACAACATGAATAATAATATTATCAAACTGTGCTCATCAAAATGGCGTTAGTAGAAGAAAAAAAAAAAATAATTTAATTTAAAAAATAAAATTATTTATTAGAGAATATGTTTTTATATAATTTCTAAAATGTCCTGTTGTGATTATGTAGAAATATCCAAGTGTGATTGTACATTCGAATTTAATTGCTTTTATCCTGTTGTGTTTTATATAATAAATTACAGTTTTCACATTCCAAAAAAAAAAATGCAAATTTAAAATCTATTTTAAAGATATAACATTTAAATATTTGAATATAATTACTTACTGTGAATATTTTAACAATCATTTATAAAGTAAAATGAAGTTAGTAAATTAAACAAAAAGCATTAGAGAATTTTCTTCTTAATTAAAATGATTCATATCTTCAAGGTTAAAAAAAAAAATAATAATAATAATGTAAATCGGTTTATAAAAATGTCACGCAACAAACGTTTATTCAATAGTAATATATATATTAACAGAATAATAGATTATTTAAGTCTACGTGCAATATAAAACCATGCTTAATAATAAACTCATTAAATATTTGGTTGACCTTCAAGTGTAAAAAGAAAAAATTTGAGAAATAAAATAAATGCAGTCAATTTTTTAAAATAATATCATCAACATAACACTGTTGAAAATCTATATATACATATATTTGAATATTACGTCAGATCTTCCATCATCTCGTATTATCATATTTCGATTTATATTTGTTTATTGAAAATTTATTTGAGTATAGTGATGGCATACTCATCGTTAGATTCCTAAGGGCTGATTCTTTTTTTCATTAATTCTTCAGTTTACTTTTCAAATCAATCGTCGCCTTAGAAATATGTTTTCACAATATAAATTTGATATTTTGAAAGCTTCTGGTTTTTTTTGTATAATATGCTGACCAATATTTTAAATACTGTTGAAGAACCATTTTTTTTTTTCATATCTTCAGGAATTACATTTTGTGCTCTTACAAGTAAATTTGACGAGAGAAATAACGAGCTGTTGGTCGAAAATTATGACCTCTTTACTCATTGTGGAATAAGAGACCTATGATAAAAGCTATATAAGAGCATTTTTGGTTTGGAATTCTATTCACAAACAGAATTAATCATTCCTTATGTTTAAAAAAATTTTCAGTCAAAACAGACATTTCCTTTTCCTGAACTTTTACAAGAAACAGGTCATAATAATGGAACTATTCTAAAAATTTATTATCTCGGAAAACAAATACGAACAGAGTTACTCCGACTAACAAATAATAAGCATGAACAATTTTAAGCTTTTTTACAATTACGCTGAATTATATATATGAGAAAAATATCAGTTCGAAAGCGAAATATCAATCGCGAGACTTTTATCATGAGTACCTTCCTTAGTATAATGTTTTATACAAGTCCATACTGTCAATATGGACAATAAAGGATAACCTTTAGATGTTCAAAATGGATGCTTTAATTTATTTGAATATACATATCTTATATTTAATGAAAAAAATTCAATTTTATACTTGTTCATCCATCTATTAATCCTTAAATATATATAAGGATAATTATTTTGCATATCAATCTTGATCTCAATATGTTTGAGAATCTGTGATCTTACATGATTGACTATGTAGATCATATCATAGGAAATTTTAACAACATTTAGAAAAATTAGTTCAACAATGTATAAAATGTAATTCGGACTGTAATATGTGATTTCTTAAATAGTATTTGAAATATTAGTTAGGAAATTACTCAAATCAAAAAGTTTCCACAATACAGACGAATAGTAAATTTATCGCATTATTAGAATATAATTACTATTTAAATAACTATTCCTATAGGAATAAGCAATTTGTAAAATGAGTTCAAAAAACCGTAAGAAAATGCGGTTTCTCTAATGCTTGCTATTTGAGCATGTGTTCATCATATTTTAATTTCTTTCAGCAAATAAATGCAGTATAAAACATATTGAGAGCTCTAAACACTATCGGAATATCTAATAGAGCTCAAAAAAAAAAAATGTTTTTTTTTTTGTGTTGATGACATGTTGAAAAAATTCACTGTAACTATTTTTTTTTCGGAACATACATATCAAAAGTGTGATATTCTTCGACATAAGAAAAAATGTGGTTTAGCTGTGATTAGTCAAGAATACTTGAAGAGAAATTTAATTTCCCTTCTTCATGTTTCTGTCATTTATTTTTAAAATAAATATTGAACTTCTGATTATGCACAGCTGTCATTCATATGATAATAAACAGATTTTTTTTTTGCAGACTTGAATCAATTGTTACTTTTTCATAATAGAATTTAGATTTAGTAAAAGAAATAATATCAATTTCTTTTTGTCTAGAATTCATTGACGAATGAATAATTAGATCTTTTGGCCTCAATTCGACATTGAAAAAGACAATATACGTCAGTGGATTTAATGAACAGATGTCAAGATGTCTATTCGTTTATTTGAAACATTTTAATTTTCCTTATCAACATTGACAATAAACTTCCTGTTTTGATCTAAAAAAATCTCAATCAAATCATTTCTCGATATCTTAACTATTTACTTCTCTTTATCAATACATACTAGTTAACGTTATAAATCTCTGGAAAAAGAGAAATTTATTTAGCTTGAAATAAAAATATAACATATTGTGTTTATTACATTACAAAAAAATAAATATTATCAAATGATATCACTTAAGATCATTTGCACATAATGATGCTTTCATTTAATATAAAATAAAAAAAAACGAAGTCAACCTTGTGTATTACATTTCTTATATTCTTACTCGTTTTTCATGACTTTATTCTTTTGTATAATTGAACTTTTATAATAAGTAAAGAGGCAAATGACATGTCTGACATTTCTATGTCATGAATCAATGTTAGTCTTAAACAATAGATGAGAATGACTTATGTAACATATATATATAAACCGAAAAATAGTAAAAGAGTATAATAATAAAGATTCTAATAAGATATTTTATTTATTTAATACAACAAAGAAAAAAATGAATTAATAAATGATGAAAACAACACAGTTTGAAATAGACATTAAAGTCTAAAAAAAAAAAAACATCTTTTTTGTTCTTTATTAACAAATGCTCTTTGAGTATCATATTGCAAAAATTGTTTATAACATAATGATAGTATAACGATAGAGAATTTTTTCTTTCGAATAATAAAATAAATTTTTTGAATTTTTTACATAGCAGATGAAATCGATGTAGGAAAATTAGTTGAACTTAAAATAGTTAGTTTTGTTGATTGATCATTAGTTAGTCGAGAAACTGATGAATTATGTTTTAGATTTCCATTAAATATTTTTAATGGTTGATTGTACAATAAATTTGATTGTCTATTATGAAGACTAATTTTGTCTAAGTTTATTTGATTTGTTGAACATATAGTTGTATCA